CTCGGCCCGGAACTCCAGGCCGTGAGATTTGCGCGGCAGACAATCTTGTGTCAGCCAACAACTTGCTTTACACTTCTTTTGCTGTGGTAAATCATGTGACTTTGCTGCTGCACACATGGTTGCTGTCCAAAGTTGCTGACAATCTTTTTGGTTGGCTGCAATCATTCCTTTAGGTTGCTGGAAAAAAGAATTCTTCTTGAACCAGGCTTGGTGTAGGAAGGCCATAGGTTTCAATATGTATCCAATGGAGCTCAAATTTGGATATGTTATAATAGACACCCATTGGACCAACTTTCATGAAGACTGTATTTCCATCTGAGCAGTAAAAACATGCGTTTTGGGGCTTGCAAGTTGGCTTCTGAAAATGGACTGGAGTTTGGGCTTCATTTCTTTTCTCTCCTTGGGCTGCTTGCAACGAGAGCGCTACCTAATAGAAAATTCAACTGAATTAGTCTTTATTTCAATGAAGTGCAAATGGATTTGTAAAATGCAATGTAATATTCTAATTGGTTCAAAATTCATTGAAACAAAGTACTAACAAATATAGATTAGGGATAGAAATTGTAATAATTATGTGTTTATCAGAAGGTTATGGAGGTCTACAAGGCCCACGGAAGCTCTTGGATAATGGAGACTTTGGGCTAGCTACTTGGGAGCACCAAAGTCCAAGCCCATTTCTTAGAGTTCTCCAATATGGGTAAGCAAATGAGATATTTTCCAAGCATTTCCTTTTATCCATAGGAAATAGTCATTTTCCAAATTCCTAGCTTTACCCGTTGGAAATAAGCCTTTTCCAGCACTCCCTATTACCCATTGGAAACAAGCCAATTCCAACACTTCCCTTTACTCGTTGGAAATAGTCATTTTCCAATGCTTAGCTTTACTCGTTGGAAATAAGAATGTCCTAATGCTCCCTTTTACCCCTAGGAAATAGACTAGCTCCAATACTTCCTTTTACCTATTGGAGATAAAGGAAAACCCTCACCCTCTATAAATTGAGAGGCATTTGCCCAGCCAAAACCAACCATCTCTTGGTTGCTGCAAGCCTCCCAACAATCATGAGAACTCATCTTCCTTCCTGTTTTTGGCTGCTGCAAGCATTCCAACAGCCATCCCAACCATCAACCTCCATGTTTTGGCTACTGCAAGCATCCCAGCAGCTGTCAACCAACATCTCTTGGTTACTCAAGCACCCCAGCAACCGTCGAACCACTTTCCTTCCTCCATTTGGCTGCTGCAAGCATTCCAGCAGCCATCCCAGCCATCCTAGCCATTCTTCAACCATGACAACCGAGATTTTCCTTCCTCCTCATACCCTTCCAAGCTTTAAATACCATAGCCTTCAAGCCTCAAGTTTTTCCCCCCATCCTCCTTCTCTTGAAACTCTTAAATCCATAAAGCCTCACCAAGCATAACTCCAAGCTTTTCCTTCATTCCAAGCTATAAACACCATAGCTTCAAATCTCAAGCTTTTCCTCCCATCCTCCTCTTGAAACTCTTAAATCCTCATAGCCATAGCCACAAACAACAAATTATCAACACCCCAAACTTAAGCATATCCAACACCAAGCCAAGCACATGCATTCTCATTTGCTAACCTTGTGGGTCTTTAGCTCCCACACTCCAAGCTCTCATGCCAAGCTCACACAATCTCATATCAACATCAGCAAGTCATCTTGAACTCTTCGTCAAGCTGCCGGAAACATCAACACCAAACACGCAGCCACTGGAAGAAGAACAGAGTACTCCCCTGGGACTTGCTACTCCCTCAGGATGCTTTGGGCCTAGTTCTCGCTAACTCAGACACGGGGTAATTTCACCAATTTACTCCTTACGGCAGCCCATCCCATTTGTAGCTGCTGGAATGAAAAAGACCCCAACACTAGCATAGTATACAAAAATTTATATGAATAGCTTATTACATCATGCAATTTTATACTCTTGTCCTCGTAACTATAACGTAGGAGTTTACTTATATTATTATTTTGATGATATTATAGAATATGATGCTATTTTAAGAATTGTTAATGTGAAAGGATTTGTGAAAATAGTTTAGATATTTTTGGTATGACTCTAACCTCAATAGGGATTCAAAGGAATGACACACATACATCCTCCAATGATGATATTGAAGAAATTTTATCCAAACATTACCAAAGCTCACTCTGTGAGAGAGAAAATGAGATATCAATATCGATTGTGTTTCACCTTCAAATAATTTAAGTTTGTCATCATCAGGGGGAGTAATTCAACAGGGGGAGCATTCAACGATTTTCTACATACAGGATTATGCACGCTATACTCTTTTCCTTTCAACTAGGTTTTTGTCCCACCGGGTTTCTCCTAGCAAGGTTTTAACGAGGCAGCATAAGCGTGTCCAACGCCATATCAATGATTCATAAGAATGTTGCACTCTTTTACCCTTTGCTTAGGTTTTGTCCCACTGGATTTTCCAAGCAAGGTTTTTAATGAGACAACTATGTCATTGTATGGTGGACATCCAAAGGGAAGTGTTGTAAATGCATGAGTTAGTGGATGACCACTATACCTCTTAGCATTCATCATTTCTAATTCTATGTAACCTATACACTAAATACCATAGTTATGGGCTTGTAATTTATGAGTTGTTAATGTCTTCTTATCACTGTAAGCCTATAAATAAGAGGTCTTACCAGGACGAGAGATACAAGTTGATACAAGTTGATTGACACAATTTCTATTGTCTTTCTCTACCTTCCAATTCTCTCTACAATTTTCCCTTAGTTATATAACAGTTTTGTATTGCATTGCATTTACTTTTGGTTTTAGTTTTAACTTTTGTATTTGTTGAAATTTTATTTATGGATCGTCGAGTTTAGTATGTGTTGAGGCCCAAAAATCCAGAGGCTAGGCCCAAGCTTATTCTCGGCCCGGCGCAAATAATTAATCACAAAAGAAACCCGATTGGGGCACAATGGAAAATTGTAGGATACACCTACACGAGCCATTAGCCACACATCACGCCAAGCAAGCGTGCCAAAAATGCAACTGCTTCATAAATTCGCGCCCATAAACCTATCTGGTGCCATTTAATTCGGTATTGGTTTAATAGGGTGCAATAAAACTCAGGCACAAGCATGACACATCAACACGCGATGCCATCATGCCATGCTACAAGCTCAATTGGGCCCAAGCCACATAATTATCCGGGGGTTGCTGAGAAGGTTGTGGTATGGACGGGTACGGGCAATCACAGGGCCCATTGAGGGACTGAGGAATGGAAGTTTTAGGCCGCTTGGGAGCACTAAAACTCAGGGCCATTCCTCGGGCCCAAGAACATGGGTTAGCATGAGAGAGAGAAGAATGGGGTTCAATGCCTTAGGAGAACATCCCATAGGCTGCTGTAGCATTTAGGAAAATCCATGATAATTAGGATGCCCAAAAACGCATAAGCCACTTCCAGCAGCTGGACGAAAGCGTGCGAGCCACTGGAAATGGGAGCACCAGTAACCCCAGTATTATGCACAAAGCCCAGCCCAGCATTTTATAAGAAATTCAGCATCGAGCTCCACCCTTATCAGAACCCCAAGGTAGCCAACGAGAGACCATAGCAAGAACCAACAAAAATCCGTGCGTGAAGCACAAATACCCATTGGACGAAAGAGCTCCCTCCATCTCTCTTTCCCTCTGCAAGCTCCATCTTGAAAACTGATAAGAAAAGCAGGTGGCGCCTCACCCTTATGGGGGAGGTCAGCTGCATCAAACCCTTGGAACCATGAAGGATTCCTTACCTATGCGCTTTGGAAGGGAGAAATTTACCAAAGAAGTTATAGTGGGACGAAACAATGAAAGATGGGGAAAAGCTAGGACAAAATTAGGGTTCTTCGTGGCTATAAAAGAGGACCTTAGCTACCCAGAAAACCAACCCAGTTTCAGAGCTCGACCAAGCTTTGTCAAGCAACCTGAAACTTACTCAAGCTTCCCAATCTCCTTCCTCCGTTGTTTTCCTCTTTTCCTGAGATAAAATCCTTCTAATTTTCCCCTGCCCTAGTCTTAATTTTTGTCCTCTGTAGGAAACTCACGCTTTGCCCTCTCTCTCTCTCTCTCAAATCGCTAAACTTGCGAAAGCTTAGCTCCCATGCCACAAGCTCCTCATGCTAAGTCATCAACAAATTTAATACGTTCTTCTGGTCATTAGTGAAAAGAACCCAAACGTATTTTTCTAAGGCTTCAGCAAGTCTTTTTAAAATTCTTTTGGGAGTCTGGTGCTCGAACTCAGGCTTCAGGAGGTTCTTTTGTTCGCTTTCTTCTCACAGTAGCCCAAGCCCATTCGTTAGGTTGCTGGAACAAAAAGACCCCCACAGTATGTAAGTTTTGCCCAACCGGCTTTTGAATCCTAGAACCGCCACTAACTGAATCCATGGCATCGCTTCTTTCCCGATACATTGAAAGTGGTCGGAATGTCACCAACTTGCAGCATCAACTAATAGTCATTGCTATTTACAAGAAGTTTTCTGTGGAAAGAGTCTCGACAAATTTACCTGACAAATATCCATCATTTGGAGGTTTTTCTCAATCAGAGTATGGGGTCACTCGTTTGTGTAAGTCACAATGAGGAGACGGATCGATGCCTTGCTGCATATGAAGAGGATTCGAAGGGTGTCTAGGCCTTCCTCAGAGGGAGCAATTGGAGATGGCGAGGGAAGGCCATCTCAGATGCAGGATCTATATTGTTGAACATTTTGTGCGCAAGCAGAGTTCGAGAGATTACCAAAAATACGTCTTGTGCTACAACACCTGGAAGGATACTACGCTTCGCCTAAAATAGGAAACTAAGGAAGGTGTATTCAATTTAGATTTTAAATGATTTTAAAAGAGTTATAAAGTTGATGGAGTTTAATTGAATTTAATTGAGTTTGACTAAATTCTACAAACTCCACATAGATTTTGACTGAAATCGTATATAGATTTTAACTGAGTTTGTTAGAAATTTATTATTGATTTTAATGGAGTTTATAATGATGGTGGTGATGGCAATGGCAGGAGCGATGGTGGTTTGTGGGGGAGGTAGTAAGGGTGGCGGTGGGAGTGAGGTGGTGGAGGAGGTGGGGGTGATAGTGATGGTGGTGGTGGTGGCGGGAGTGAGGTGGTGGCGATGGAGGTGGCAGTGGCAGTGATAGTGATGATGCTGGGAGTGGTTGTGGTGGTAGTGATGGTGGGGTTGATAGTGGGGATGGTAGTGGTAGTGGTAGTGGTGGTGGAGGTGCGGGTAAGGGTGGTGGCGGTGGTGGTTGTGGCAGTAATGGTGCTGGCAGTAGTTGTGGTGACGGTGGGGGTAATGGTGGGGCTGGTAGTGGGGGCTGTTGTGGGTGGTTGTGGTGCTAAGGGGTGGCGGAGATGGCGGTAGTGGTGGCGGCGACGATGACTATGGATCAGTCATTATAAGATGGTGGTAGTAGAAGTGGTGAAAAATCATATTTTATGAATAAAAATAATATATCTATCAAAATCTCTGGGGGAAGGGGGGAAAGCAAAGATTTGTCATGGCCTAAAATTAGTCTATAATCAAACGAAATTCACCACTTTTTGTATTTCCTTTAAAATAAATGAGTTTTTGAATATACCCAAACTTTTATAAAGTATTTTAAAGTCGTGATTGAATACATCAAAATTTGAATGGAGTTTTAAAAGTCTGAATTGAATAGACTTCTATAAAATCGTAATTGAATACACCTAAACTTTTAAACTTCTTTAAAATCTTTTAAAAAATAATTTCAATACCAACCCCACCCCCCCGCGGCGCGGTAAATCACAATTAAATAACTTTCTAATTTCCACGCAGAACCAATTGCTATTTGGTACCTTTTTTCTCAGTTTTTGCATGTATGAAGCTAAGCTTTGCCATGTGTAGGTAGGCGGATGCGCGTTGGGCTTTAGGTATATTTGGAATTAGTTGGGTATATTTACTTGGGCCTACTGGGTTTATTGGGCCTAGCCCATAAAATATGTATAGATTATAATAATGTGAATTCTGTAATTAACATAAAATTTTACAACCTGTATTAGTCTTAATTAATTTACATTACACCATCCCTGCTCCAAGACTGGCTTGTATCTAAGGAAGATAATACGAATCAATAATCACGAAGATTTGTTCAAGTAGCTTGATGCGCACCCTATTCCATTTGGGCTTGGTGGGTAGATTGGATTTGTTGTAAAAGATTCAGCCCACTTCAATTTCAGCCCACTTTCTGTAGAAGTGCTACTTTGATGCCGATGATGATGAGGATTTTCTGTGACCCCAGTAGTAGCACTACCCCCATTATTAGTACCAACAAAAGATGTGAGTGCAGCTGCTAATGCTGATTGGAATTTAGGGTTTGATGTGATTGCTTTTGTTGCAGAGGCTATTGTCTCTGTCAACATCAACTGCTGATACGGAGGGGGAGGAAGAGGAGGAGGAGGAGGCTTCTGATTTTGTATGTAAGATTGGTACAAATTATTAGGTTCTTGAAATATTGATTGCTTTCCCATGCTTGGGGCTGACCCAACTTGGTTAAGTACTCTATTCCCGTAGTTCAAATAGCCAGCTGCTGTGTGATTGTTGTTCCAAGGTGCTTGCAACTGCAATGTGTGGTTGTTGTGGTCTAAAGAAGAGGAGGGAGATGAGGAAAAATTGAGACATGTGGAGGGATATCTTGGGTTGGAAGAGAAGACAGCTGCAGGAAATCTTCCAAAGTGAGAGGGAGATGGAGCAGTAAGATCAAGAGTGATGGTTGGGTGGGAATTTGTGGTTGAGATTGAACTGTTGGGGAAATAGAAGTGTTGTGGTAGTCTTGAATTTTGGGAGAGAGTACTTGTACTGAAGTTTAGTCCTTGGAGGTTGGTGGAGGCAGAGATGGGTGCCATGGCGGTGTGGCCTTGTTGGGAGGTAGAGGAGTGAGACTGAAGCATGGAAGCCGCGGCGGAGGTGGTGGAGGCCATGGCTGTGGCTGACATAGGAAGTGGATGGTTGTGGCTTCCTTCGTAGGTTGTGATTAGTATGGACATGTCATCAGCACATCTTTGGACCTGAAAGTTGAACAAGATTACTTAATTACACATAACAAATTTCATATCCTAACCATCCAAGCAATGCTATTTAATAGTTTCTTTTTCTTATGCTTGCAATAGAATATATTCAAATAATTTGACGATGAGAAGATACATGTATACCTGTTTTCTCACAGGGCAGGATGGTGAGACAGTGCAGCGGTAGTACGCTCGTGGGCACGGATTTCCTTTTGCTATTTTCTGTCCATATTTTCTCCATTGACATCCATCATTCATCTATAAAAAAAATATTCGATTAATCCATGATCAAGTATATATAAAATAGCTAGTCATGCATGTCATGATGAAGAATCATGTTTCTGTTGTCAAGCAACAAAAAAAAGATTATGAACTTAGATTGTTGATCAAGTTGATTTTTCGATTTGAACATGTGATTTACATTCATTCACAATATATATGACAATATAAGTTTAGCCCGATAATATCAAACGTGTCAAATGAATCAAGCAAGCTAGCATGCAAGTAACTTTCAGTATATTGTTGATGACATGCATGAAAATTATGCTTCAAAGGTTAATTTAAGTTTGACATATCCTAACCGTTGGAGCATCGCATCTAGCTCTGACAGAAACCCTAGCTTTCTTCAAATGGGTTTGTTGTGAAACCTCATCATCCCCACTTCTTGTTGTCTTCAAAGTCTTGCTAGGTGGCCATATCTCAGTCGGGTCGTCTTCCTTGGGGTCTCCGCAGCTATTGTGAGAGCTTGAATTCTTCATAACAACTTCAGTTGATTGATCAGCAGCTGGCTCAAATCTGCAGCCCAACTCCAGTGCAAGTCCAGCTCCGTTGAGCCCTTCTTCATCGTCACCTTTCCCATTTTTACTGAAATGGCTATTCTTTTTCGTCTGTTCATCCTTTCTGGGCTGATCAGTGCTTGAGCTTCTCCAAAGGCTAAGGGACACAAGTTCGTCAGCGTCTTCATCTTGTTCGTTCGACTGATCACGAGCAGAACTACTAGGATCCATAGATTTCTTAGCTTCTTCATCTTTTTGAAGAAGGCCAAGAAAATTCATCTGAAGAGACTGGTAATTCCTCACGATTCGCGATAGTAACAGCTTTAACCTTTCATTTTCTTCTCTAACCTCCCCCATTTCAGCTTTAGCTGATTGGAGCTCATCCTCCTGGTGACAATACAAATCAAATTTTTTGGCTTAATTTTATGAATTAACTTTTAGTGAAATCTTACAAAGTAATATTGGAAGGGATAACTATAGTTATGAATGATTTAGATTAATTTAGAAAGAAAAAAAAAAGAAAAAAAAGAAGAAGAAGAAAGCAAATGATTTAGAAGATGGTATCGAGTTCAATAATATCATGTTGAGATATAAAAATTTGCACATGGGAAAAAAAAAAAAAAAATTAGACCTTAATATCACTGAATGAAATCAAGATATATATATGGTGGTTCATATGACGATTTAAATATATATTGACTTGGTGGGCCCGTCTGCTAGATTCATGTGAGCATCTTTTAAAGTCATAGGTTTTGATGATAAGACAGATCTATATGAGCTGATGAGATTAAGATTTCATCATCCTATATGCTTAAATCAGCTATATTTGATCAAAACATAAAAAGAACTCTTACGACAATACAGCCTCTTGTGTTTTTCCTTCTTACTCTAAGTTTGTAATTTTCTCACCTGTGTGTGCTTGACAAGGGCTCTATCTTTTCCAGTAGAAGAAGACGGCATCAAAGTGTTTGTTTGCTCTGGTTCAGCAAGCCACCCATGTCCTCCCTGAATTGTGATATCCATGGATGAGGAAGACTAAGATCAAAACAAGACGATGTATACGTAAAATACTAGAATATATAGTACTCTTAAATCAGAAATAAATTTATGATGATGAATGGAATATGAGAACACTAAAAAGAGTCAAAACATCTCATGTATATACATCAATAATCAGTGAACAATCTCATCAAGTTTCAACTTTCAACAACATTAATTTAAATAAGTGGCATGCAAATATATATGAAATTCACCTTGCTTATTTCCATCTCCATGGAAGTACCCTCTTCATCATGACCATCAGATTTCTTAGTTTTGTCTTCCACTGGTGTATTTCCAAGGAAAGAATTTTCCTCAGTATTATTGCTCTCCATTGCTTTTGAACGCCTCTTTGGCATTTCCATAGCTGCAGTTTGGCTTCTTCTATATTTGTAGGGAGAGAGAGAGAGACATAGAGCCAATAGATTTTGACTTTGTGTATATTCAATATACACCCAGTGGTTATCTTTAATTTGCATATATATATATATATATATATATACTATAAAAATTAAAATAAAAGCTATCTCTCATTGAGAAAAACAACCCAATCACAGTTTTTTAAAGAGGAGCCGGGTATTAGCCAAATACCCTCCAAGAAGCAATTCAATATTTTAAGTTTGGACCATTACTGATATTAAATTATTTAAATTATATAAACAAACGTAGGTAGGTAGCTATGGCTATGTTCAATTTCAACGTTATTGAGAGAGAAAGATTTAAGAGTTGTAAAAACGTCACACGACTGCCTGCCTGCCTGCCTTATTTGGGTCAAACCTCATCCGCCGTCATCAAACCTTTGACTCCACTGACTTCCTTCATGCCCCTCTCAAATCTCATAGGTCCTTCAGATTTTCGGTGCTTTTTCGGTGTAATTTTTTATCTTTTTTATTTTATTTTTAAAAAACACCATTGGCTCATTCTTGAGGGTTTTTCAGAAACCAGAGGGGACGCTTATTTTCTATTTTTATTTTTAAACAAATGTATGTCACAATTTAAAAAAATTAGGGTGGTCGACTAATGTGTTAGAATTTTCTATATGCAGCCTGCAGGTATGTGTTAACATTTGTCATTCTACGTGATAATGTTCTCTTTATTTTTTGTTGAGAATGTAAGTGACAATGTTCAAAAAAACCTATCAAATTGCACTACTTTGGTTGTGGATTCTTGTGCTAGTAAATTCAAAATGGCAAGCCAATTATTCATGGTGGTTGTGGAAGAAGATGAGGGAGAGAGAGAGAGAGAGAGAGAGAGAGAGAGAGAGAGAGAGAGGAAGAAAAAAAAGAAAAAAAAGAAGAGATAAGATATAAGATGGAAGAGAGAAGGATTCATCTAAATTACAAAGTCCTAGTCTATGTTAGTTAATATAAAATAATTATAAGTATTTATTTTAATAATTAATTCAATTATATTACAGTTTGCGGTATACCGCATTATTTGGATATGTGGAACTGCAACCGCAACTGCATATTGCAGTCGGTTTTATAAACTACATGTCGCGGTCGGTTTTTGTGATAGATTGGTTTAGATGCGATAAAACCTTGGTAGGTATTTGCGATTTTTCAATTTTTCGGTCTAAAATGCCAGCCCTAGTCTACATATGTGTGTCATGTTTAGGTCAACTAAGAGAAATGGCTTGTTATTTCTTATGAGCATGAGAGAAAACGTTTTCAGCAAATAATTATTTATGTTAGTACTTTTTAATTAATATATATTAGTCTCTCGACCCATGCTCAATTGCGTGTCAATAATTTTTTTCTTCTTCTTATTGTATCCTTGTTTATATAGAATTTTTATCTTATTTGGACGTATTTTTTCCTTTAAATTGAAATAATTGTGTTTTTGAAATTTATTTTCTACAGAATATATGACTAGTGACTGCTAAGAGCATATAGAGGTTGACAAAGGTACGTTAAAGCAAACAAAAGAAAATGGGAAAAACATCGTCATCATATAATAAATTAAACAAATTAATGAATTTTGCTAATCCTGATTAAAAATATCCAATCTGCAACGTGCCACCATCATTAACATCAATAACTTGGGTTGGATCAATTAACTATAACCAAAAAAATAAAAGAATGAAACTTAATTCTGACCTTTCGAAAGCCACAGTTGTCGTATATATACTTAGAGAAATTGTTGTCAACTTGGAGCATATGATATTAAGAATTAATGACATTTTAAAATAAATGATGAACATGTCTTGAAGTTGAAGCATAAATACATGAAGCTTCAACCATTTTTGTTTTCTTTCTTATAGTTATTTCTTTACTTAAATATTGAAGTCCCTATTATAAAAAATAAAAATAAAAGAAGAAGAAGAAGAAGAAGAAGTCCTTGCTATATAATGAAAGATCAAACCAATTAATCTTTTCAATTTTATTTTTTGGAGGTGCGCATATGATATCATTTATTACATCGCTAACCAAATTCACTGATTTCATATTTGGTTTAGTAGTATAATTGTTTCCACTTAATTGGAGAATAATGATATATATTTGTGGTGAGTTAAGTTTGATACTTATTTAGTTATAAATAATTCTATTGTAATAGCGTAATTTTATTGTAAATACATTAACTCGTTATAAAAATATATCTTCATAAATATCGTATAGTTGATTAAAAAAATATTGATTCTTAGTAACTGGCACCACTTAGATAGGCTTTTGAGCATAAAGATCAGTCTTTTACAACTCCATTTGAATAGTAAAAAATATATATAAATTTGAATTATTTGAATTGACAAAGACATTATTGATCTTTGCCTTGCCCAGTAAGGTCAATTGGTGAAAGAAAGAGCTTAATTCGACCAAGTCTGTAAAATTTTCTGAGTCATGCGTCCATCGCCCTCCTGCACTGTCACAATCTCATATCCTCCAAATTCTAATTATAGACGAATTATTTGGAGGCAAATTGCTTGAAGCCTTTGAGCAATATATATATATATATATATATATATATATATTGCTCAAAGGCTTCAAGCAATTTGCCTCCAAATAATTCGTCTATAATTAGAATTTGGAGGATATGAGATTGTGACAGTGCAGGAGGGCGATGGACGCATGACTCAGAAAATTTTACAGACTTGGTCGAATTAAGCTCTTTCTTTCACCAATTGACCTTACTGGGCAAGGCAAAGATCAATAATGTCTTTGTCAATTCAAATAATTCAAATTTATATATATTTTTTACTATTCAAATGGAGTTGTAAAAGACTGATCTTTATGCTCAAAAGCCTATCTAAGTGGTGCCAGTTACTAAGAATCAATATTTTTTTAATCAACTATACGATATTTATGAAGATATATTTTTATAACGAGTTAATGTATTTACAATAAAATTACGCTATTACAATAGAATTATTTATAACTAAATAAGTATCAAACTTAACTCACCACAAATATATATCATTATTCTCCAATTAAGTGGAAACAATTATACTACTAAACCAAATATGAAATCAGTGAATTTGGTTAGCGATGTAATAAATGATATCATATGCGCACCTCCAAAAAATAAAATTGAAAAGATTAATTGGTTTGATCTTTTTTTTTGGTCTGAACCACGAGGTGGTCCTGAATGGGCCCCAACTATGGGTGGCACCTTTAAGCTTTAACCACAACCCAGACTAATCCCCGCTCACACCGGGTCGGCCCGTAAGGGGTAAAGTGTTGGCCAAAGTGGTGACTCCATACGAGAGCGGGGATCGAACCCCTGACCTCTCTTAAGGAATGAGAGTGTCGAACCACTCACACCAATC